TCTTACTTTTTGTTTAATTTCAGTCATTTACCACAACATTAAATAATGAGCCAGCATGTGACATGTTATTCTGTTTTTTCTGGTCAATATAGTTTGTTTTTTGTTCATCTTTACAAGTTTTGCTTGTCTTATTTAATCTGTAACAAACCACTGCATTTTCCCTTCCAAACAATAGAGCTATGGGCCTGTCACTGTAGCAGTGATCAGATTATTGTGTGCATGGTCCATTCCAGATAATTGAATACTATAGCTTACATTGACTGGGATAAATTGTGGTACCTTTGACCATAATATAGTTATTGTGGAAGAGATAGATGATTTGTTTATCCAATTCCTCCGTATTATTTTTGTAATATGCTTTATGTGAGATACTGTTCAAGTGATGTCTGTTTGATCTTGGAAAACTTAGGGCAGAGAAGAGGAGAGCAAAACTAATCTGAGAGTGAAATCATAGGACCCTCATTTGACTCAGAGAAGTCTTCTGCTGAGTGAAGAGTATTTTCCACCACTTTGATAAGTATTCCAGAGTTTCATTCTCTTTACATTCACCTGACTGATAGCCTGGTACAGCCATAATCACTGATATTGTGATTTGTTCTTTATATATCATCTGAGCCCAAAGACATTGTAAGAAGTCACTATGTTCTGTGGGTGACAACCTCTCTTTGTATCTAGTCGGCTCACGCCAAGTCAGAGCATGTCTGTTTCTATTTACAGACCTCTGAACCCCTTTTGCAACTGACCAGTAGGTCATTCAAGGTCTTGTACATGGTTTTGCTCTTCACTTCTTGTCTCATCCTCCTCTCTGTTCCTTTTCATATTCCTTTCCCTCCTCCTACTAATCCTCAGATCTCGAGGCTGTGATTTCAAATCTTTTGAACAAAGAGAACCATCTAAAGGGCCCTTTGTCCCTCTCCAGGATTTTATTCTCATCCTTGTGTTGTTCCCCAAAATACCAGGGACTGATGTCCCATCATTGACCTTTCTTCTCAGAACCACTGTCTAATAGTTCCTCAGTTCAAAATGGAGGGATTTCTTCCTTTAGTCTTTTTCTCCTGAACTATGGATGACCAAGTTCATTGTCTTGGATGACTTTATACATATACCAATTGCTCCATCCTCCCAGATGTTTTCTTTCATTCAGTCACAAGGATCAGGTGTCCCTGTTTTGAGCTCTCCCCTTCAACATTGCTTTAGTCGCTTATGTAATCAATCAAGTCCTGTCCATCTGGAAAGGATTCAGCAGTTACTTCCTCCACTCTTCTTTGGGAAGCCTCTCATATGGGCTAGCTTGTCAAGCTTTCCAAGTCCATTTTAATTCCCACCCAGTATATTGTCCACCTGGGAGTTTTCCTCAACTCCCACACGAGGCAGGCTTAACCCTCTCCCTTTCACCTTCATGCCATGGCAATTTTGGTTTCAAGGGCACTTCTTCCTCATTTTCTTTCTGTGTGAGATCTGCTTCTCTAGAAACCCTGATCCCTCTCAGTGTACCCCCTCTCCCATCCAACCTGCATCTTTATTTCCTCTTGTGGAGTTGTTCTCGACACCACTACTCACTCTGGGATCTGGTCTCAAGATGAGTGTTCCCTACACACCAACATTCTGGAGAGGACTGCACCGTACCGAACTTGCCAACTTCTTCAGTCTCGGTTGCCCAGTCATCTTGTGATTATCTACTAGGACAACTCTACAGTTGCTTCTTACATCAACTGTCAAGGAGGCACTCTCACTCTGGACATTCTCTATTTGACCTATGATAATTATATTCACTTTACAGCAGGGCATTTCCTGGGTGTTCTGAATCTGGTGGCAGTTTTCATGTTTTGTCTGGACTGAATCCATCCCATAGAGTGGTCCATACATCTTTCAGTTTTCTGTTGATTGTGTTCTCATTTTAGGACTTCTCAGGTCAGTGCTTTTGTGACTCTCAATTCCAAACTTCCTCCTCTTTTTTGCCACCCTTTCCAGACTCAACCACTCTGGTTTTCAATGCCCTCAGCCAGGATTGGTTCAGTCATTTTCTTTATGACAACCCTTCTCTTCACCATCTTCCCTTGGTACTCTCTATCATTCAATACATTCCTCTGTGGTCCTGCTCCTACACTTGGCCTGCCATTTTACTTTCCCTTTTAGCCAGGGAGGTAATTTACACGAAATATATCAATTAATGACTATCAACAAATTGGGCAAAAGGTATTCCCTGCTTGAGAAGGATGAGGTCTTCTAGAGTTTGCTGCTTCACTAAGCAACTCCCTGTCTTGTGAAGTCACACCCCATGAGCTTTCTCTTTCTGTGGCTATTTGAGAAAAGAGCTCATCTTTGTAATTGATCAGCACCAGCCAATTTGCCATTTTCAATGTAGGATTCTAGTTCTTAGTTGTGCAGAGAGGTAAGCATATATCTGAAATATATTTTCCTTCCCTGAAAATGTATTTCAGATAGGTACTTACCTCTGCATCACCTTCTTACTCTTCCTACCCACTTCTGGTGCATTTTCTTTGCCCCATCAAGAATGAACCTATGATTATGTTCTAGGGCTCATGGAGATTATCATGCAAGGAGGTGGTGTTGCCCTACTTTTGGTGGAAGGCTACAGCATTATGACAATTATGTCATAGGCTGGCACAATATGCATAGACACGTGTAGGGGTGGGAATTTCTTCAGGGCTTGTATCATGAACAGGAAATTACACAACAGTTGAGAGAATTAAGTATCTATCTGAAATACATTTTGAGGTAAGGAAAATTTTAACGTTAATACTCAGATTTAGATTATTGTATAGGCTACTAACCATAAATGTGATTGGTATCCTATCGCACTGTCTTACCATAAGTACTTAACAAGAATGTTAAATGCATTGTATTTCCAAAGAAAATAAAAACTAAATGTTTACCTTAAAAGCACTTTGAGTAATATTTAAAAAAAAGGTTTTTACTAATATTGGGTTAATTTATTAAATTTATCAAAATTGACATTTGCTCTTTTTTGCTGTGTGTGCCATAAAGGTTAGTATGCCCGAACTATGAATCCAGTGGTTCATAGTTCATGTACCATTGCTGAAAGGATATTTTCTAGAGTTTGAGACAATGGCAGGGCTTGTATACATCATAGAGTTCTGGAAAAGTTTTGAAATTTTATTTTACCTTTTCAAGGCCTTGAAAAAGTGCTTAAAATCCAATAATTGTGACAGATATTGTTGAAAAATACTTAAATAATGAAGTGGGTAATTGAATAATGTAATATCAGTGTTTATCATGTGGGTATGAGAATAATTCCATGTAAAATATTATATTCATGAAATGTTTACAATGTATGTCTAAAAGTATTACTATGCTGTCTGATGGCATGTTCTTGAGCTAAAAATATCATATCATATAGATTTAATTGAGTTACATATTTTCCTTTTGACTTTACATGAGATGCCATGTATGTTGTGGTTTTTACAGTTTTTTTTTTCATTTTACCACTTAAAGTGCTTTATTATTATATGAAACTAGTAAATGTTTCATTCATAATCCTAGCATCATTCAACATTTTGTACAGGATGGCAGTGAATAGAATGATTGTTCAACATGCTTTGAGATCATCTATTTTGTTTTTTTTTTTAATTTTGTGGTCTGCATCAAAACTGAAACAGTTATTTAGGAGATGTAAGAGTGCTAGAAATAACACCATAATTGATTATCATAGTCTTTCCTAGCACAACATCAAAATATGAAAAACAGTAGCAAAATTTATTTTTATTAACAATATCATAGATTGACATACCTGTGTGAGACTGTTTGACAACAACTTTAAATTTATTATATGGCATTCAAACCAGAAGTTATGTTTCACGTTAAAAACAAGCAGTACCAAAATCAACTTACAATGAAAACAAATGGCACACGTATTGATTAGAATATTAAATATATCTAGTTTTATTATTTTTTATCATTATACTTCTGGAACTGGCTATTTTGCATTATTACCTTAGTGTATGGACTTACGAATAACCTAAATCTCCAAAACTGATTTACAGCCAAATTTATTGTTTACAGTTGTTGTACCAAACAGGTGAAACAATACATTCTTATCTTTAACATAAGAAAAGTATATTTAATTAACTATACTCATTATTTGGTTGATTTTTAGTTGTGATCAAAACTGTTAGCTTTCTTTGATTGGAAGTTAATATTAATTTATAATTACTTCTGAGTCCAAAAAGCAGCAACACTGTAGTCACATTACCACCAACAGTAATGTTCCCAAATAACAATTCATAAACTTAAGCTATAAAAGCTTCACAATGCACCTTTCTCTCTTATGTTAGCAACCATTAACAAACTGATCTTCGTACATTGTTTAAATTAAACTGTGTTGACAGTTGGATATCTAATTTGAAAAAATAGTACTAAGAGATATTTCCTCTTTAAGGGATCCACTAGACATGAGTTACGGATTACTTTTCACTTTATTTTGTATTTTCATATGTAACAAACCGTGCTTCCAAGATGGCATTGGAAATGGTGTTTGTGTTGATATCTATCGCATTTATTCTGAATTATGTATCATATACACTGAAGAAAAGTATTTAAAAAATTTATTTTCTGCGTATTTCAATGAGATAATACTGAAACACTAACTTAGATGCTAAATTTTGACACTGATTTTTCCATTCCTCCTTTAGCTAACTCACAGAGTAACATGATATATGTCTGATTTTTACTTGTTCTATTACAAAATTTCATATCATAAATGTAGTAAAGTTTTCTTTATATTATATATATATATATATACCATGCAACAAAGACTTATGATAACCATAGTAAAATTTGTGCATATCTTAATGTGAAAATACTATAGAGTTAATAATCTGTTATAGAATTACATTTATATTATTTTTCTTAAGTTTTGGTGACCTTTGAATACTATTAAAAATGTTTTATATGTCACTTTGGACATAAGTTAAACTTCTAGTCTCTATTTAAGTATGTAGACTTGAAAATTTATTCAGTTTCAGAACTTGAAAACACAGCTGGATGAGAAACAGGAACTTCTACAGGACATGAAAAATGAGCTAAAGAAAGTAAAGGTAAAGATGTTATTTCTTAGAAAAATTCCTTATGTTCATTGCAGTCTGAAATATTTTATGTTTATCCAAATGTATTTTTGTATTTTTTCTTCAGATGTTTGTTAAGGAATTGTATATTTAATAAAATATCATCATACATATGATTACCAAATAACAAGTCATCACAATGGTAACGATCACAAATTTCTGATTTTCTGTGATTAATATGCATATTTCACTAAATGTTAGAAAAAAATGTGTATTTATGAAGACACTTGCGAGTCTTTAGAGAGACTGCAAGAATGAGGTAGAGGATGCAATAATTTCTTGCAAAATAAAAAAACATACCTGTAAGAGAAATCACATTATACAAAGTACATTTACTACGTGATAACAAAGTGAAATGATATTCTTCCGATACAATACCCTACCTCCTCTCACATATTAGCTTTTCTTAATTTTGTGCTGCCCTCTATATATGCAATTATTTGCTCACTACTAGCTTTGAGGATCCCACCTACACTCACCTGTTCCTACATGCTATTATTGTGCTTTAACATGCAAATGAGCATGTGACAGCCCTCCACCAATAGGAGTGCAACACACCCTCCTAGCACAACTGACCCCCTTTATAATGATTGTTCAATCATCACTTCTCGATTTGGCATTCGTGACTAATGACGTGTTTTATTTTTGCTTGGGAACTTTTCAGATATAGGCATTTTTTTAATAGAAGTATCTATAAAGGCATTACTTTTTGCAGACGTATTTATTTGTAGATTTTTCGTTTTCAAACATTTTCTGCCCCTGCAAATTTTGTAGCCTTTTATTTCCATATGATTATTTCCCAGATGTGGGTATCTTCCATTTTGTCTTGTTCGTGCTAGACTAACAAGTGTCAGGTTTGTCTTTGTCTGTTGCAGACGTGGTGTCTTTTGTGCAGTGGGTAGTGAAATCTTTCATGCAGCCTGGACCTTCTTTTGTAACTGCAATACCTCTGCCTATGTTTTGAATTCATGACAGAAAGGATTTTGTCATTTTTTTCCCCACCATCGACCTTTGCCTAATCTTATACCCATGCTGTTTTGCATCTACCTAAGCCCTTTTTGTAATTTTGTGACAGTGTTTCTTGGGTATGTGTTACCTTTCTTTGACTCCTAATCTCTAGAGTCTTTTCTTCAGATTTGGGGGTCAGATCCTCTGTTTTTTTTTGTTTGTCTATCTTAGGCTTAATAATGCCAAAACATACCTCCACTGCTACTTATAGCTATTACTTAAATGCATTTAGACACAGGTTTCTCTACAGAAGTGCACAACAGTTAATGTCCTTAGTTTCAATTTTCGCATCACCTAGTGGCTTTCTGTGTAATTTATATTTAATAATTATTATAAAAAAAAATTGAAACTCCGTTTTCAGGCATGAATTCACAAGTTACTGTTTCCAGCACAGAGGCTAATCAGCTCTCTACTATTCCATCTCTGTTATCTAGTGTCTATCAAAGGGGGGGGGGGGGGGAGTCACTCACAGTGACCATGATCTGATTTGTTGTGAGATGGGGACATATATTCAGTCTAGGGTGTCTCTCCAGGGAGTTCTGAGGCTGCTTTTTCCAATGATTTGCAGAGTGTAGACCTTCGTTTCAAGGCTGTCAGAGAGTTATTCATCACAGGGGTGGTAGAGAGAGTCGATCCCATTTTTGGGGGATTTTATTCCCATTTATTTGTTGTGCCCAAGAAGATGGGAGATTGGCGGCCAATCATCAATCTTTCTCATCTCAATCAATTCTTAGATCCTCCCAGGTTCACAATGGAGTCCTTTCTCAACTTACATTGCCATTTTTCACCAGGTCTCTGTATGACCAAGTTCATATCTCCACATTCCCATAGCGAAGTCATCCTGTCGCTATCTATGTTTCATGCACAAGGGTCAGGTTCTGCAGTTCAGGGCTCTGCCCTTTGGCCTAGCACCTGCACCATATGTCTTCTGCAGAGTTGTACAAGCTTTTTTCATCACCTTCATGCTTGGGGCCTGTGCACACACCATTATATGGATGACTGGTTGCTTCTGGCACCATATTGTTAGTTGGTGGAACCACACACCCAGATTCTCCTTTCAGATGCCACCAAGGCTGGCTTTCTTATCAGAGCCGAGAAATCCATTCTCTTGCTGACTCAATATATTGTCTATCTGGGTGTCTTTTTCAACACTTAGCCAACTCTCCTTCTCCTACTGCACGCACAGGTGGTTCTCTTTATTTTGGGGATGTGGGCATCCCTTAAATCTCTGATTTCTTTGGCACAAGCACACATTTGGTCCCATCAGTGGTAGCTGCACAACCAATGGATCATTAACTGTGATCCTCTAGATCTTCCAGTCTCCTTAATCAGGAGCAACATCTTAGATCTCGAGTGATGGTTGGATCGGACCAACACTACCATTGGTGTTCCTATACAGCCCCCTTGTTCCGAGATTCGTCTCTTCACAGATGCCTCAGTTTAGGGATGGGATGTTTATATCAACAGTCAGGAATTCCAGGGTCTATGGATGGAAGACGAATCTTCCTTCCAAATCAATATTTTTGAATTTCTTGCTGTCCAACAAGCAATGGCTTAAGGTCTCGATCTATTGAAGGGGAAAATCATCATGATTCATTCTGACAATTCCACAGTAGTCTCTTACATTTTCCATCAAGGATGCACGCATTCTCGGGACCTTTGTTTTTGAACTTTGGATATTCTCTACTGGGCTCACTCCCATCATATCAACCTCCTGGCTTCCCATGTTCCAGGGGTGATGAACTTAATAGCAGATCACCTAGCTCGGCCCAACTGAATTGTCCTGACTGAATGGATGCTCCATCATGAGGTTTTCCGGTAGACTTGCTCTCAATTTGGGATTCCGATGATCGATGCATTCACCTCTCAGCTACAGGCATTTTGGTCCCAAATACCTCATCCTCGGGCTTTGGCGATAACTGGTCAGTCATGTTTGGACGGGATTGCACCTCTATGCCTCTTTCCCAATTCATCTGTTACCCAGAATCCTGGCTATGATTCGATCCACTACTTGTTGAGTACTGTTGGTAGCCCCAGATTGGCCAGTCCAACCATGGTTTCCTTTTCTACTATATCTTCAAGAGTTTCCCCCTCTGCCACTTCCTCTTTGGCCATGTCTGTAAGCAACCCCAATCCGACATTCTACACTTAGACATAAAACTTTCTAGGGAAACAAGTGAAATAAAACTGCACAATAAAGCCGATAATACTAGGAACATTTTCTTTTTACTGTTAGTATGGGATTCTAAAATCAAGAGTACTTTGTATCATCACAACTACACTTAATATATATTCTAATCTGTTGTTTATAAGGCCAAATCAGTACCAGAACATTTTAGAAATCTGTCTTCCAATATGATATAAGAAAATATGATCCAGAGCATATAGAAAATAACATTGTAAGTTGGGTGAAAACATAAAGATTCTTAGCACAATTGCACATTAACAGTACATAGAAGACCAATGCAAAAAGAAGAGGGAGTGAAATAGCATTGAAAAATAAAAATGACCAATTATGTAATTGTTTAGTTTGTTTGTAGCATCTGGTAAATCATTTTTGTTCAAACAAGGAGTAACTACTTTAAGAATTTCCAGCAAGATCATAAACCTTTCACTACTAGCCATAAAGAAAACAATGAATTTTACAAGTGCATACAATAAACTGAAATTATTTGGTCCTACTATTTATGAAGTGGACAACCTGAGGCAGAGGAAGAAACAGTTGTGAGTAAAGAGGAAGGAGACTATCAGGCCAAGGGAAAAAAAAAAAAGAACACCCACAGTCATATAAGAGAGACAAATATTTCTACTAGTCACCAAAAAACAAAGAAACTGAGGTTGCAGATAAAATCAAAATGAGACAATTAAAAATTAACTAAAGACAAAGCTCAAACATGTAAAAATCACACAGAAGGGAGAAAGGCACAAAAAACTCAAAAATACATCACTAACAAACAAACCAAATCTCTTAAACTAATAATTAAACAGTTGACCTTTCAATGAAACATATGCAGGAAGTCAGATTCTTAAAACAATTTTCAGGAAAATGGGTAATCAAATAACATTCACAAAAGACTCATCCAAAGAGTAAAGTAAATAACAGGAGGAAGAAATTGAACCCCGACTGAGTGATGAGTGAGGATGATTTAAAACTGCAATACAAGAGGCTGTTCTTGTAAATCTGTATTGATGTTGCAGGTACCAATCCTTTGGCCAGATCTGAAAAATACATGTAAGAGCTAAGGATTATTAAAGGGGTGTTGCTATCTAAACTTATAGGAGCCTCACCTGCAGTAACAAGAGCACAGATCCTTCAATGTAGAACCACTGGTAAAATTAAAAGATAAAATCCACAGCAATACCGTGAGGTTTTAAGAAATATAAATATGAAGAATCAGGTAAGTGGTGGGGCACAAATATCAAGCAGTAGGACTGCAACCAAATAATTTCATGCCCAACTTGAATTTAATGATCCCAGCCATGGCATTGGATTTACAGATTCCCGCCACACTGTGATCTTGATTAAGGGAAGTTTGTTGGAGTGTATTTTGTCAAAAGTTTGTCACCTTGCCTCTTCTCGTCATTACCATCGGAGTCATCGGCCTTGCTCTTCTCTTTGCCATGGAGCCCTTTAGACATTTCTACTCCATCTCGTGATGTCAAAATCACCTTAAAATATTACCTGTTCATTCTCTGTAATTGAAATTTCAATTGGTTACAACTCTAGCTAATAAAAATATCATAAGCGAGGCAAAGGGAGATGATAATGTCTCTGAACACCTCCGATTGGAAAAGTTTCTTTCCTTTAATACTAAATCCTTGTCATGGTAGTAGTAGTAGTAGTAGTAGTAGTAGTAGTAGTAGTAGTAGTAGCTTCACAACACCCATAACACAACATATAAAAAAGATCCAGAATATATTTAACACTAAGGCATGTTTCATGAAATTTTTTCAGTGTGATGTGAAATACCTAGTACACAAGAAAAGTCTATGCAGGACAACTTAATGCCCCAGAACTGCTACAAATATATAACAAAAATTACTGTTTTCAAATAAGTCAATATGTTCACAGAAATGAAACAGTAAAAATGTAGAAAAATAATTGGAAATTCATATAGTAAAATATTAGAAGTTCATTGTTGATATGCATAAATGAAGCCGCAAAATGAAGAGAATGATAGGATTGCTGTCGCGGTGATTATGGAATTTCAGGCAGTTCATAATTTTCATAGTGGCACTTCTTACTTGTAAAGGATGTTCTAATGACTGAATGAGAGTATGAATTATGTTATGGAAATAACATAAAGAAGGGTTTAAGATGACATTTTAATAAGATGTTAGTTACTGTGAAACAAAATTAACACCCAAATGCTCAACATTTTGTTTCTTGTGATCAAAATTTATTTGTTTAGATCAATAATTATCACAAAAGTAATGTAACAATCAATATTGTTACACTTAGTTTTGAAAGAGACAAGGAACAATGTTATGATGCATGTATGCATACATATGTTCTCTTTTATTGAGTAATAAAGTACCTATTACAATCTGTAAAGTTAAAATACATTAATGATTCTCATACGTGTGATAGATGTACGTCTTTTACATTATTGTAACATTATGCTCGTGGGTTATATTTAATAAATGCACTGGATTCTTCAGTGTAAAACATTACAAGGTTTATTATCAATAACCATCTTGTATGTAATCCTACAACAACAACAAAATAACAATAATGTACTATGTTCTAAACTCTATAACCTTTACATATGTTTAATAGGTGGTGCCAGCTCACCATTATTAACTGATACTAAAGTTGTATGTACGAACTGTATTTCTTTGATTGACAAATGCTTGTTTCCAGTGGTGAATATTGATCTGTATATTTACACATAAAAATTATAAATTTTTATTTCTTATGAAATGTAACTAGTAATAGAGGCAGCTTCTTTTAGTTACTAAGCTGGTCTGGTTATCTGATTTATTGATTTATTTTGTACACACACATTTTGTTATCCCATGCTTATTTAAACCAACCACAATATTCAATTGGTGCAAAAGTTGAACAGTTTTATTCTCATGTTTAGTTTTCAGTGTAAGATTGATTTCCTTTAGAACTCTTGTGCATGTTTTTCATCGGTGTATCTAACTAATATTGATTCTCTCTATTTCCACAATACCTCGTTGATTTTCTTCTCTTTGGATATTTTTTACTAACTTATCATTTAAAGTTTTTATTTTTTGCATCGTTTTGGCTATAATCTTGTTTTTCTTTGTTATCAGAGTAAAGTGGAAACTTTAGAATGTCAGAAACAGGCTTTAGAAAATGTGAAAAGTCATTTGCAAGGAGAACTGAGAAGCAAAGAGTCAGAGCTGGAAAGATTAAAAGTACACTTAAAAGTAAGTGTATAGAGTGGTTCACTCTATTTCGGGAAGTTTATAATGCATAATTTAAACTTTTCAACAACATGTTACAGTCGATAATTTTTATAGATGAGTCATTTAACTCTCAATATGGGCTCGGTCAATTTGACTGACCACGTGACCTTATTGTACTCATTTAAAATCTTTATAGATTTAATACTTCTAACTTTCAATATAATGTGTTTATCTTCACAAAATTTGGTAGTCTTTCAGTTAATATTACAAGTCTTTCACATACAAAAAATCAAATTTTTAGTGAAGTATTTTAAATAAAATAAATAAAGATTTGTCCATGAATATATTAAGTATTTGTTTTGAATAGTTTGTGTGCAAAGTAATTTTCATATTAAAATAAAAAAATCTCAAATTTCCTTTATGTTATCCCTAAGACCTCCTGAATGCATTTCAAACGTTTTTTTTC